GAAGATGATGTCGTTACGAGCGGTTATGACGACTGTATGGGCATGGGATCGTTATCGTGGAAAAGAAAATCCACTGGCTTATAGTCTTTGCAAATCTGTTGTAATCTTTTTGTAAGATCTTAGAAGAAAGAAAGAAGAAAAGCTTCTTTCCAGCACAAGATTGGTAGTTCTTTAATCCAATTATTTAGCAAAACCTCAAAAAGTCAGTAAAAACACACGAGAAAGAGAAAACTGAAATCAAAAATTTAAATTAACGAAATGAAAAATCAAATCTAATAATGCTTTGATTCAATGCAAATATCAAAAGGATCTCAGAAGAGTTTAAAATGAAGACACTAAAGAGCATCTTGAAGAAACACAAATAAAACTGGAAAGATGGACGAGAAAGCAGACACTGTACCTACAAATAATATCACAGCAGATTAATAATGGAGAATCTGAGAGTTCCATAGAATCTGAATTTCTGAGACTGAATTTAACTGCAAAAGTAGAGAAAAGTTTAAAGCAGTGGGCTTAAATTGATTAAAGAAGCAGGCAAAAATGTAACGAGCAGTGCTAACTTTGCAAGAAAATAGACAATTACTAGATGATTTCAAGAAAATGGAGCCCAATTTTCTGTTATTAATTATTGTATTGCAACACGGTCATAACAAATTGCATCGCATGCATGAATACGGCAAAAACATGCAAAAACCATCCAAAAAAACGTTAATTTGTTTAAATGGTTAAAAGCGTTGAAGGGGCATCGATGCGGGAATGTTTTTTCTTTCATTTACTGAAATTGATTGAGTTTGCAATGTTTGCAAACAAGCGATTACCCACATTGCGGCAAATGGCACAAAATGTAATTGATGCCATAAATGTACACGTTTTACAGCCCATATCGTTCACAATGGTAGAAAACACCTGGGTCATGCGATGGTAATAAGTATTTCTACATTTGTACTTTTCTTTGTCGATTTTTGCAGTTTCAATTATTTTTAATTAGCACAATTTTCTTTCAAAGTGCCCGGCATTTGCCTTCACAAAATTTGCATATGTACCAAGTACACGTACGGCATATGCCGTTATCTCTTTGCATATTGCAACAGAAACCTTGATTTTCATTGCCTGATTACATGTGGTAGTTATAAACTTGAATTCGCCAATATGTGAATGTTAGGCATTTGGAACTGAAAACAGCAACGAAAGTTGCGAAACCGCAATCAAATAAATGGACTTTTAATTAAATGCGGTGACATGGAAACATGCGTTAAAAAATGTTTTTGTTCAACGAAGATTAAGTTATCTGAATGCCGGAAAAAATGCAACACTTGCAGTGGAATGCACATCAGAATTTAGCACCATGTGGAGTAGCAATCGCATGAAAATTCTGGCCGCATAGTATGAAGTCCTTCACTGTATTAATATATACCATTGAAGCCATGTAGTGCTTTATCATATATTTTCATAACACTTTGTGGTTAATTTGTAAAAGTCATATATTTCATTTAAAATCGGGTTTAAAACTTGTCAGTTTTTTCTGGCAGATGTTTTTTTTTCGACATTTTGCAAGCACGAGTAACGCGCATCTTCAGAGGTGGTCTGCATACAATAATTTCGTCGACTCACACTCTACTTTCGATTTTGGGTCATAGTTTTATTGAGTGAAGAATAGTGAGGCTTGTGTTGAAAAGGCCGCCAAAAACTGACTAAAATTTTCAAAAATATGCCAATTCCCTGACTTACAGGTGAAAAAATTCTCTATTAAACGGTGAGTCTTTAGATATTTCCAGTTTTAGCTGGAAATTCAATTCAGAGTCGAATTCAAAAATTCAATAAAAAGATTTAACTGTTGCAAATTACCACACTAATAGAGCAAAKGATTCRCTTTCTAGGAAGGCAAATTGCAATTGGGGCCTATTTCCTCTTTTGGTTATTTTTTTTTCGACCTAGTAAACATTCGACTCGAAATTGAAGACATCACACAACTGCGTTCTCGATGTCAAAAATTCACAGTTCAAGTAGCACTTCAAATTTTGGCCGTAAATTTTGCAACACTTCACAATGGAGATGAAATGCTTTGTGCGGCTTGCATTGAAAAGGCCACCAAARATTGATAAAAARTGTGAAAAATATGCCAATTTTCACATTTGCAGAGCAACACTTTCTCTATTTAACGGCATTAATASTGAGTGTCTATCTATTTCTTCSTTAAACTCATTAATWTTCCAGGAAATCCTGTCGGTTAATTCAGGGTCGCGCATTAGAAAAAATGTYTAAAGTTCATTAAAAAAATGAAACTGATGCAAATTACCACACACTAATASAGCAAAATTTTAGCTTATATTTTCTAGTAAGTCGAAGAGCAATTTCGGTSTACTTCCTATTTTGATTTTTTTSAAGATATCGCAACACGTCCCAATTGAAAAAAAACGTGTGATGCGGCCGGTTTTAAAACGGCCCCCAAAAATTTGGAAAAAATGTGAAAAATATGTTAATTTCCACATTTGCAGACCAATAGTTTCTCGATYTAACGGCTTTAATATTGCGTGCCTATCTATTTCTTCCTGAAGCCCGTGAATTTTCGAGAAAATMCTRACRGTTAATWYAGWGTMGSGCATTAGAAAAAMTRCCAAAAATGTTATAAAAAATTCAACTGTTACAAATTATCACACTAATAGAGCAGAGGATTCTCTTTCTGGGAAGGTGAATTGCAATTTCGGCCTATTTCTTATTTTGATTWTTTTTTTTGGTRAATTTTGCAACACGTCAMAATGAAGATGAAATGCTTTGTGCGGCTTGTATTGAAAAGGCCGCCAAAAATTGAGAAAAAATGTGAAAAATATGGCACTTTCCAAATTTGCCGGGCAAAAATGTTCCTATTTAGCGGCGTTAATACTGAGTGTCATTCTATTTCTTTTTTAAGCTCATGAATTTTGAAAAAAATCCTGAGGGTTAATTTAAAGTCGCTCATTAGAAAAACTGCCAAAAATTCACTAAAAAAATTGAATCAATGCAAATTACCACACTAATAGAGCAACAATTTATCTTTCTAGTAAGGCGAATTGCAATTTTGGTCTATTTCCTATTTTGATTATTTTTTTTGGAAAGTTTTACAACACGTCACAATGGAAGAGAAACACGTGGCGCGGCTTGCATTAAAACGGGCCCCAAAAGTTGGGAAAAAATGTGAAAATAATGCCAATTTCCACATTTATAGGGCAACAATGTTCCTATTTAGCGAAGTTAATACTGAGTGTATAGCTATTTCTTCTTTAAGCTCATGAATTTTCTAAAAAATACTGACGGTTAATTTAGAGTAGGGCATTAGAAAACTGCCAAAAATTCGCTAAAAAAATTGAACCAATGGGGGACTTTCTAATAAGGGGGAATTGCAATTTTGGTCTATTTCCTATTTTGATTATTTTTTTTTGTAAAGTATCGCAACACGTCACAATGGAAAAGCAACGCGTGGTGCGGCGAAAAATGTGAGAAATACGCCAATTTACACAATTGCAGAGGAACAATCTTCCTATTTAACGGTAATCTGGTTTCGGTTCAACCACACGAATTATTCTTAAAATTCAAACTAATTGTCAGTTCGTGTTTAAAAAAATGCAAAAAATCTATTAAAACCTCAAGTTGCAGGACTAATAAAATTAAGCATTCTCTATCTATTCAGGTTAATTTTAGTTTCCTGGCTGTTTCCCATTTTGAATAATAAATCTTTGATATCATCGTGATTAATCATCATAATAATAGTTGAAAAGTGGTGCGACTTCTATTGAAAATTCCGCCGAACAATGATAAAAACTAACAAAAATATGCCAGTTTCCACAAGTGCAGCTGAATAAAATTGCTGTTATACGGCGTAAGTACTGAGTGTCTAAGTGTTTCCAGCATATTTTTTTGTAATCCTGAACCAAAATTACTGCCAAAAGGTCAAGAAAAAAGCATAATCGTTACAAATTTTCGCACCTATAGATGAAAGTTTTCTCTAATTAGAGGTGTGCCCGCTTCGACCGCAAAAGACATCTCTGAAGGTAGTAGTCATCTGTGCTAGAAAAACGTCTACAGCAAATTTATATTAACGACCATTTAAAAATTGGGGCAAAACTTTTCGCTAGTTCTTTCGGCGGATTCGAACTTAAATATTTTTTGAGGCATTTTGCATTTGAAAAGTTTTGGCATCATCTTTTTTTAAAATATGGCCTTTAGTTCGAAAACAGGTAATTTTAAGGCACCAAATTACAGTTCTAAGAATTTTTTGAAGAAAGCATTTGGGTGATAGGAAAGAGGGCAATCTTCAATCAGTTAAATCCTTTATGCCTGCCTGCGACTGAAAATAGGCAACTTTAGAGGCTCTTTAAGGCACAACTCGTCAAATTTGTTCACACCAACATTTTTAACACCAAAGCAGCGCTCTTGAGACGCTCATTTTGAGCAACAAAATCTAGCTAATCTTCTGTAGTTTTTTTCGAAACTTTACATCCTAATTTTTCAAAAAAACGGTCAATTTTCCAACGTTCAAAACCTCGTGATTGAAATGGGTTTAATGCCTAGTGGCAGATTTAAAACAGAATATTCTAGAGGACTTTTAAGACAGAAAGTGGCAAATTTTTTATTCCAAAATCGAGTTGTTCAAACGCTCAATTTTAGCAACAAAATGTAATTAATGTTACGTATGCTGTTTTCGAAATTTCACATCCGAATTTTTCGGAAAAAACAATTTTCAAACGCTCAAAGGCTGTGCTCAGAGCCTTGCAATTTTACACAGTTTTGAAAATTTAGGTAATAAGAAAATCCCGCCTTTATTTCGAGCTGTTTTTCTTTTAGTTGCAGGGCAAGTTTCAAGCGGCTCTATTTAAAAAGTAGAACTTGACAGTAAAAGAACTCGAAAGTTGCAGTTTCTTGAGCAATTAAATGAAAAACTTTCGAACCGTGAACTGCGGTTTTAAAAGAGAGACTGCTGACTTCAAGCGAATAATTTGAAGTTTCAAACAGAATAAAAAATGAAATTCAAATAAGTATATTAGATTTTATTAACATAAATATACAAAAATACGATACATAATAATAGAAAAGCCGGCATTGCCGCAGCCTATACTAAAAAAAATCACAGTCAAGTTGATACAATTTCCTAAATTTAGACGTGGATCCGACGGCAAACAACAAACGACTTAAGGCAACATACTTACAAAGTAGATTTGCTACAATTTTTCGAAACACCGTGAGTTTGTCAGCATTTCCCGCGTCAGTCTCCAGACCTGTTTGGCCGCGTTCTCTAAAGCGCTGGGCGATTTGCCTTTGAACAGATCCAAGTTCGGGAGAAAGTAGTGAGGACAGCGTCTACATTGCAAACAAGATATTAATTGCAGGAATATTCCGTTGATTCTATCCGCTATGCAGGCTTCGTCCCATTCGCTTTCGCGAGGATGTTTTTCGCACTCATACAGCAGCAGCGTCTTCATGTGGTAGCTGGTGACTGGATTCCCTGGTAGGTCCAAGTGTCGGTCCCTGATGGTTTTCAAGATGCTCAAGCATCTGCGCCTGCAGCCGCCTTGTAACAGTCGATTTTCCGCCTCCAAGAAGGAGAGAACCCAAGCGTCGCCTTCCATGGCAGATTGTTTCCCTTGCAGGGCCACGCACTCCTTGGACAGAAGATCGAAACCCTCAGTCTTGACTTCGACTACGAGGTTGGGGTGTGGCCAGGGAATCTGAGGTAGTGGCCAATGGGCAGCCGATCTGGGCCATAATCCTGTGCACTTGAAAGCCGGCGTGATTTGCACTATAAACCGTTCGCGAATCCGCAGCTTCACCTCAGTGGTATCAGCGATCATTTTCACCGAGTCTCTATAAGAGCACTTGTCACAAGCCTGCGCCACTAGAGTTTGGAATCGGGATCGCATCTTGCGCGCTGAAAGATAGCCGGAAGCAGTGATAAACTCCACCCATAGAGACATTGACCGTTTCCGGCCGTCGCTTAGCTTGAGGACGGCACAGCCAGGCAAAGTGCCATCGTCCACAAAGTTCAACACCCCCATCTGATTCAGGTAGATCACCACTTCGAATTCCGTAGGCGAAATCACTTCCAGGCCATCAAACCGGCCGTTGTAATCGGTGAGGGATGATATGAATCGCGGTTCTTGCACTTCCACCTCTTTGAGCACATCCTGCACCACTCGACACACTTCCTGAATGGTTTTGGCCGTTGTCAGTTTCCTGGCCTGCACTTTTTCCGTGTAGTATTTGTTCATCTGATAGACCATCTTCGACTGGGCTGCTAGCATATCGGGGGGAACCAGCATATTAGCAGTTGGGGGGCTACTGGAGCCGCGTCTTTCAGCAGGAGCCACGGTGGCGATGGATATATTAAAACCCTTTTAAATCAACCGTGTTCTGGTGGTGGGGGTTAGATGCTAATTTTCCCCCGATCAACTCAAATTGAAAAGTGTTCAGTTTGTTTGCACTTATTATTCACGCACTAACCGTGTGCCGAACAAAGCGCTCAAAATAAGGACGAATACTGCGGAACGTCAGCAGGCGCCAGCGCCAGGTGAAAGCGCCCCACTTTTGTGGGAGGAGGTGCCAGTTGCTCGGTCGGACCGCCCCTAACAACCAATGGAGGCTCATTTTCTCCATCGGTCATTATTCTAGTTGGTGTGTCCGTTTCGATAAACCATGGGATTTTTCGAGTCGCGGGCAGTTTTTGGAGTTAGAATGACAAATGAGGGGTTTCCATCCCTGGGCCCTGAGGAAGAAATTTTTGGACCAATTAGTGATTAGAGTTAAATTGAGGTAAACCTTATTCGGAAGTGAAGAGTTTTTGGCATATTAACAAAGTCATGATCCAAAGAAAATTGAACAAAATTCGTCTTTAGCAGTTCAACTGCAACGAACTTTTCATTAACAAAGGGAGGAAACTAGGCTGTTTAAAATTACAGCTTATCTTATCAGATACCTACAGAAAACTACTACCACACTAGTAGGTTTGTGGTATTTTGCAAGGTTTTCTTTTTTATTGCTTTTTTGGCAATTTTTCTAATATTTCACTCTAAATTTACAGTCACGACTTTCTAGATAGATGGAAAGCAAGATAGGCACTCACTATCAGCACCGTTTAATAGAGCAATTTTTCCTCTGTAGCTGCAGAAATTGGCACATTTTTCACCCTGTTTAGATCGCTTTTTCAATACGAACCGCACTATTGTTTAGTTTTTTTCCTGTTGGCGATTAAATTAAAATGTTTGACTGTATAATTTTTGCATTTTTCGTCAGTCTCATTTGATTTTATTTGTCGTAATAGTAGGACAGGCAAAAGTCAGTTAATCGATCAGTTGCTTTTTTGGTATTTCCTTTAGCAATTAAGGCTTTGCGCCAAAAAATTATTGAAGTTTCACACTTTATTAGTTTTGTTAGTTTACTAGTTTTAATTTATTGAGAAATACTACATTTAAATTGAAGTGAAACTTGTTTGAGAGAGCAAATTTTTTGTTGGAGTGTGGAATTTTAATGCGAATTTACAAGAAACTTATGACGCCTTAAGCGCTTATGAAGAGCGAACCAAAGAAAACTGAGTAAAATCCATCGTTTTATTGAGATTGCTATTTTATTGAAAATTGCGAATTGACTTTTTACAAATTTTTAGAATGCTGTTTGGCAATTATATTAGGAAACATTGAGAGAGGCACATATTTTACGTCGTTTTTAGCGATAAACCGCTAAATTTAGTAGCATTTTAACGACTAGGGAATTTCACGTAAAACATTCATCATGTCGAAAAAAATATTCATAATTGGACCTGGATATAAAATTGAAGTTAACGTGATAAAATAGAGAAAATTGTGTTTTATTGGTGGTGTGAGTTGCAACGTTTGCACTTTTTTCCGGAGTTTTTGACAAATTTTTACAAATCCGACATTGAATTTGTGGTGAGGATTTTCACGAAAATTCGTTGGAAACCGATTTAATATTCACAATTATTCAAAATTGGATAAAGCCAGGGAATTCAAATTAGTCTGCCTAGGTAGAAAAGACGTTAGTATTTTTCTCCTTTTCTGCGGCGATTTGCGTCGTTTCAACAGGTTTTTTGAATTTTTGGTAATCTTTATAAAACGCGACTCAGAATTAGCACTCTGGATTTTCACGTAAAATTTGCGAGTTAAAATTGGAAATATGTAGGCATTCGAATCTAAACCCATTAAATTAAAAATATAGTCGGCTGTAAGTGAGCAAAACTGGGATATTTTTTTACAGTTTTTGCCAATTTTAGGCGAGTTTTTCGAGTCGCACGACTTTTCACCCACGATTAATCATGTTCAAAAACATATCTACCCATTACCTATTTAAAATTGGAATTAGTGAGAATATTTAGCTTAATCTTACTAGATAAAGAAAGCGTTGCTCTATTTCTGCGGCGATTAACCCCGATTCTGTTTGTTTTTTCAATTTTTGGAAATATTTCGAAAGTCAGGATTTTAACGAAAATGGCTGAACTAAAATTGAAAGCAAGCAGACGCTGATTGTTAACTATTTAAAAGAGATTTTTTTCCGCTGTAATTGGGAAAATTGGCAAATTGTTTTAATTTTTCTTCAATTTTTTTGCAGCGTTTCCGGTACAACTGTTTATTTTCCACTGTGACGTTGTCGCGATATTTGCACAAAATAGTTAAGTAGATATTCAAAATCGGAATTAGACCAAAATGCAATTCGCTTTAATAGATGAAGATATCCTTGCTCAGTTAGTGTAGTAATTTTCAAGGATTGTATTTTTTTTCGAATTTTTGGCAATATTTTTAATACGCGCCTAGTGTTAAGCGCAAATTTTTTCGAGAATTGGTGAGCTGGAAACACATAGACATCCAGTATTAACAGCGTTTAATAACAACATTATTTCTCTACAACTGCAGCAATTTGGGTATGAGTTTTTGGCAATTTTTCTAAAACTCGATTGACGACTAACATCACGATTTGTTCACATAATTCATCAGCTTAAACTGAAAATAGATAGGCACTCATTATTAATACCGTTTAATAGAGAATATTTCCATCTACAAATGTGAAAATTTGCAGATGCTCCACATTTTTGGTCACTTATTGGCGGTTTTTCCAATGCAAGACTCAATCCTGCTTATTTTCTATTATCACGTGTCGCAATATTTTCAAAAAATTGTATTTCAAAATTTGAATTAGGCAGAAAACTAAAAGGCTATTAGTAAATTTGTTTGAAATTTTTTAAATGTGCGAGTAAAAATTAAGTTAGGCTTTTTTCAATTTTTTTTTGGCTGGAACTGGAAGAAGACATGCAATAGACAAACTATGCCTCTATATCTAAGTAAAAAATTTCTCTTTTTTTTTCAATTTTTAGTAGTTTTTTTAATACCTTAATGCAACTTGCACCACTGCTTACTTACCAATTTAATTCGTAAGGATACTTTCAAAAGTGGAAACAGGAAAAAATGCAATTATTCTTATTAAATGGAGAAAATTTGACTATAGTAGTGTAGAAATTTGCACAGCTTCCATTTGTTTCTTGACTCTTCGGAATTTTTTTTCAACACGCGGGCGTTGAATTACTCGTGAGATTTATGTGCTTCTTAAGACAAAGCCCGCAAAATTTCTGCGGTTTTTTTCAACCAAAAGTTCACTGTGAAAGCTCTGCTGTTGATCAGCAATTTTCATTTGTTGCTTGCATGTTTTGGGGATTTTGGAGAAGACAGAGCCGCAGATGTCGATTTTCTTAAACCGCGTGACTTTTTCCACTGTGATTGATCAGAAAAGCTAAAGAAATTGTAGCTATTTTAACCGTTTCTGAGAAAGATTCAGAAGCCTCTCAGGCCAAAATTTAGTCAAGTTTAAAACGGAGTTTTTAGTGCTAAAATGATTACTATAATCGCTCAGGTTAGAAAAGAATAAACTAGCGTGTGTTGTGGAACTGCTTTATATTTTGCACCTAAAACCCGAAAATGGGTTCGATAACGGCAGAAGATTTAGTTCAGAGCCAAATTTCAAGGCAACAATCTCCGAATTGCACACAAGCAAATTTGCTGCTTTTATAACGGATCAATGATAAGTTGATTATAATAATAAGAGAATAATTTAAAATTTTCATTTGAAATATTTCGCCCTTTTGCAATTGGAACAAATTTCAGAGGAAAACCAAACAAAACCAGCGAATAGAAGAAACATTTTGTTTATTTTCTCTAAACAATCATTGACAACACAAATTTTAAACAAAACACGTAGTCTAGTAGCAATAAAACCAATAAATATAGTATAAAACAACAAACAGTTTAGAAGCTTAAGTTCAGGCTTAAAGTTAATCTAGTGAAGATTCTAAGGGTAGATTAAAGCTTTCAGTCAAATTGCAACAATATAAAAAATCACATTTAATACTAGTTTAAGTTACGAATAATTTACTTAACGAAAATAAATGCACAGTATCTTTATACACTAACAGGGTACTTGAAAATATGGCACAAAATGTTCACTGATTTGTTCGAAAATATCCCAAAGGATTTTATGGTAAATCGCCAGCAAAAAGAGAGTTTAAAGCTTTTCCAAGCATCGGCTATTGGTAAGCAGTTCGCGTGTAAGTCTCCACACTTGTTTGGCCGCATTTTCCAGCGCACTAGGCGATTTTCCTTTGAACAAGTCCAAATTGGGAATGAAATAATGCGGGCATCTTCGGCACTGCAGGCAGGAAATGAGTTGGAGGTAAATGCCGTTGATTCGGTCGCCTATACACGCCTCGTCCCACTCGCACTCCCTCGGATGCTTTTCGCATTCATACAAAAGAAGCGTCTTTAAATGGTAGCTCGACACCGGGTTGCCAGGAAGGTCCAGGTGACGATCCCTTAGGGTTTTGAGGATACTCAAACAGCGCCGCCTGCAGCCCCCTTGGAGGAGCCGATTTTCCGCCTCCAGAAAGGACAAAACCCATGCATCGCCTTCCATCGAGGACTGTTTGCCTTGCGCTGCAATACTCTCTTTGCTCAGCAGATCGAAACCTTCGGTTTTCACTTCGGCTACCAAAGTGGGATGAGGCCAGGGAATGTGAGGCAGAGGCCAATGAGCAGCCGATCGGGGCCACACTCCTGAGCACTTGAAAGCTGGTGTAATTTGCACAATATATCGTTCTCTGATCCGCAGCTTCACTTCGGTTGTATCCGCGATCATTTTCACTGAGTCTCTGTAGGAACATTTATCACAAGCTTGAGCAACGAGCGTTTGGAACCGGGACCGTATTTTCCTAGCTGATAAGTAGCCAGAGGCGGTAATGAACTCGACCCAAAGCGACATTGAGCGCTTCCTGCCATCGCTCAGCTTCAGAACCGCACAACCGGGCAACGTTCCATCGTCCACAAAATTGAACACTCCCATTTGATTGAGGTACAAAACAACCTCGAATTCCACGGGAGAAACGACTTCCAGGCCTTCGTAGCGTCCGTTGCATTCGGTCAGCGACGATATAAACCTGGGTTCTTGCACCTCGACCTCTTTGAGCACATCCTGCACCACTTTGCACACTTCCCGTATCGTTTTCGCAATTGTTCCCATCCTGGTTTGCACTCGTTCGCCGTAATATTTGTTGATTTGATAGAGCATTTTCGATTGAGCGGCCAGCATGTCAGCTGGGACCAACATGGTTGAGTTTACGCCGTTGTTCGGCTGCCAACTAGAGTCGTCAAACAGGTACAGAGGGCTCTGGGCGTGTTGCAGGCGGAGCTTTGGGGCTCCGCCTGCTGCAATTATTCCCCTCGAGTTGCGTAGTATTCGTCTGATGTTATCGACTATGTGAGAATCGGTTTCAGGTCCGCCTTGTTTCCTTTCTGTTGGCGAGTTAATTCAGCTTTAGATGGAAAAACTTCCATGTTTTCCATACTTCTTACTTAAAATCGAAAATAGTCGAGAAACTCAGATCGATTTTATTAGTTAGAGAAAGTTTTGCTCTACTCGTGCGGCGATTCGCCACGTTTCCAATTGAAATTTGAATTTTTGCAAATATTTCAAAATTGGATGGTTGGTTAATGGACTCTTGAATTAACAGTCACGATTGTTTTGAAAATTCATAAGTTGAAACTGGAAAAAGATAAACACTCACTCTTAACACAGTTTAATAGAGATTACTATTGTTCTTCTGTCAATGTGGAACTTTGCATATTTTTCTAATTATTAGGTATTTAAATTTGGAAACAGGCGAAAATATTCGATTTTTTGAGAAGAGATTTCTTGAGAAATTGTTCCCCTATCAATGTGGAAATTTGCATGTTTTTGAAATATTTCGTTAAAGTTTTGGCCACCTTTTAAAAACAAGCCTAACTACCGTTTATTCTCTACTATGACGTGCCGCAATATTTACAAAAAAATATTATTTAAATTTGGAAATAGACAAAAAATTCCAATTTACTTTGTCAGATAGAGAAAACATGGCTCTATTCGTGTGGTAAATTACAGCGTTCTCATTTATTAAATAAGTTTTTGGCAATTTTTCTAATACTGGACTCTGAATCAACCGTGATGGTTTTTTAGAAAATTCATGACCTAAAACTAAAAATATATAGACACCCAGTATTGATACTGTTTAATAGAGAATTACTTGTTCTACACATGTAAAAATTGCATACCTATACTTTACATTTCCGTTCAATTTTTGACGCCCTTTCCAGTAGATACGAGCCTCACTTTTGCTTATTTTTCACTGTCAAATATCATCCGATTTAAAAAAAAAATGTATTTCAAAATAAGCATATCAAGAATAAGAATCTTTGTCCCACTTTTCTCTGTGTATTCTTTTTAAATTTTTTGTCGCGTTTTGTTTTATCTGTCTTAATAGTAGCAGTGCATTTGCCTGAACAATCAAAGAATTTGTTGAAATCTCATAATTTATTAGTTTGGCAACATTGAGAAACTTAGATAGATGCGATTTGAGGACTTTTTTAGGGGCTTTTTTGTACCTTACTTGATCTTTTTCAAGCCATGGGAAATTTTTGCAGTTTAAATAACAGCTGAAGGGATTATAGACCCTAAAGAGAAAATTTGAATTTATTGAAGCGACTGGGCGTCGCCAAATTTTTTTACGCATCAACAATTAATCTTTAATTAAGGTAAAGCTTCTTCGACTCAGTTTTTTTGGAATGTTGAATTTGAAAGCTATGAAATGACGCACTTAATTTACTGAAATTGTTATCACTTTACATCATTTCAAAAAATGTTTACTCTTAATTGTAAATATTCTGGAAATTTAAATCAGTTTTATTTAATAGAGAAAGGTTTGCTCTATTCATGCGGACATTTTCAATCACGTCAAGATGATCACGTTCAATCATGTCAGGATTTCGACAAAAATTTGTTAGCTGAAAATTCGAAAGGATAATCGCTCGATCTTAACCCCGTTTATTAGAGAAGTTATTGGGCTGTAAGTGTCTATATTGGCATATTTTTTAGAGGTTCCCAAAAATTTTGGCGGTTTTTTCAATACAAATCTCATCGATATTTGACTATTATTGATTTCAAAAATTTGTTATTCGAAACTGAAAATAGCAAGGAAATTAAAACCAGGCGTATTTGATACAGAAAACGTTGCCCTAATCGTGCTCCGAATTGCGACATTTTCGTTAGTTTCTAGCAATTTTGTAAAACGCCACTAAAATCAAGAGAAGAGACAGAAGTTAAGATTTTAACAAAAAATCGCGAGCTGACATTTTCTCAGTATTCACGCCTTTTAATAGAGAATTAATTCCGTTTTAAGTTTAAAAATTTGCATATTTCTCACCGTTTATCTCAATTTTTGGCGGAATTTTCAATAGAAGCCGCAGTACTGTTTATTTTGGGCTATAACCTACCGCGATTTTTAAAAAAATTATTCAAAATTGGAAATAGGCAGAAAATTTCTGCGCCAAACAAACCGCCCCGAAAGATTTAGATCAGTCGTGCTTGCAAAACGTCTTGAAAAGGCATTTTTCACGACGACCTAAAAGCCAGGAAAACCAGGAACCAGTTTCAACTTCATAAATAATTTCAATGATTGTTAATCGTGTATTTTAGTCTTAATTAATCTTAATAGTTAAAATTACATAATTAATAGAAAATACAGCCTTAAGTACATACATTTTACTAAGTTGCTCTCTAAACAGAGTACATTTTCAAAACAACAAAATACTTAACATAAATAAAAAGTGAATATATTGAGTAGAGGAGACTCGAAACCTATTATAGTTTGTTGGTTGATTAAGATTTATTATCAGGAAATATATGAGCAGGTCAAGAAAAGCTCGAATTAAAAAGAGAGAAAAACTTTCAAAACAATGAATAATTAAACCACGCCTCCCGCAGTGCCTTTTGGTCTCTTTCTGTTGCACTCGTTTCTCTGCCTCATTCCACTCATTATTTCTTCAACAGCTGGAATTCGCTTGCTAGACTTCAACGCCCGATTCGGCCAGAAGAACATCTACCCTAATGGGAAGCAGCAAAGAACGCAAATAGTTTCTGTATCTCCGCATTTCCTGAAAGAACCGTTTAAAGGTTTTGCTGATTAAAGAAACTTACACGTGCGGGATTACCTTATATGAAGTGAGCGCAAAAAAATCAAAAATATTCTGAAGGATTCAGGATTGCACATTTGGGCCGGACGATTAAAACATTCTGAAACTTAAGTTGTGTTTTACGTAAAATACGAATAATATGAAGAGTGCATTGGTGCAATTTGTCTAGGCGTTGCGAGCAAACAAGAGCTGAAAAGAAGAAAGTCTGATCTATGACCGGCTCATGGTGAAAAAAGGTCTTGAAAAGCGCCAAAGGAGACATTGTCACGTTGTTTGGCTACAGAGAGTCGGATGTATTGACGGATTATTCCATTGAAACGTCTTTATTTCTTTTGAGTGCTCTGAAGCGGCCTTTCTTTGCCGCAAGACACGCTGCTCATTTTTTTACTTTGGAAATAAACGCTTACCTAGATGGCACATTTCAAGCCATTCCTCGAGCAATTGTCGTTTAGGTTTAGAGTTAAAACTGCCATTATTTGGATGGAAATGAGACAGGCCAGTAGGCCGAGAGTAGCTGCAGACATGCAAAGAAGTAATCAGTACTGGGAGTAAACTCTTATATGGTTTTGATAAATAATATTTCCAGCAAACATGCTGCGTTTCCAAGCTTAAAAAGCCTTGCAAAAATATGGAAACACTCGAGCTTAATCAGTTTTATTTTAAAGTGTTTTTATAGGCAATTATGAGACAAAGTGACTAACTTGTTTTGGAAAGGGAACGGGATTTAATGCACTACAATAAAGCGAATTTTATTCCATCGAAGATTCTATAAAAGTCGCATGGGGCATCCGAATGTATTCTGGTATCAAGGCATCCAACCATTAAACTGCCAATTAGCATTTCGCCTTCGAATCGACCAATTAAATTTAATTTCATTAAAAAGTTTTTTTTTCTGATTGTACAACTTTTTTTTGTTAGTGATCATAAGTGGGTTGTAAAAATAGTTTTCACATATGTGCGACTTCAACCGCAAGCCGTCTTGAAATGTTAATCCCGAGCAAAGCTCGTATTAAATTTATGGCCCATTTTACGCTACATGCCCTGTAAATTATCGATGAATTATCGTGTGCTTCACCACCTGGTTGTACCTTTTATGATTTTCTGCAGCCCTCGCTTATATCGGGCATATGACGATTCCCATTGAATTAGGTAACATTAGAGAAAAATTACGCTCTTAAGTATTTATATCGATATCAGTCGGTTTTCCTCTAATAGTATATCCAGACAACTTTTATAAACTGATAAAAGTGGCTTTTATTCAATAATTAAGGGTGTTTTAGCATTAATTTTAATGACCGGTAGACCCTGGGGTCGGGGTCATTTAAAAGTTGGGATGCGTTCATGGTAGAGACTATTTGTCTGATAGATTTGCCGTAATTCGTTTCGCCACAGAACAACAAAAAGAGGGATGTTCGGACCCTTCCTGCCTGCGTGAGATCAATTTGTTTTTATGGAAGATGTATGGTTCGCTTCAGATCGCTTTAATGGAAAGTTGTCAGGAAGAGTGCATTTGGAAGAAGTTGCATGCGATAATTGAAAGGAAAATGCAGGATTTTGTAAATTTAAATCAAATATTTATTATCTGTGGCTATGGGTAGAAAACCGTCAAGAAAATTGGAGGCTGGTGAAAATTGACCATTACTCCAAGTGAACGTTGGGTCAATCGTCACTGTTTTACTATTTAATTTACATGTATTCCTGAAATTGATATTCTGTCGATTTTACTCTGTGAAAGTTTTTTTTTCCGAAAACGAAATAAACGAGCGCTTGCAAGTGATCGTTTATCAGGTACCTACCTACTCCAATTCGACAGATTCTCCAAACTCAATTTCTGCTTGAAATTACTTGACATTTTTACCCAAAAATACATCATTGTATTATGTTCACGCCGGGAAAGTTTCAAGTTGCTTCTTCGTCCAGTTGGAAAGTTTCAATTTTTTTCGACAGATTCCCACGAGCTCAATTTCTGTTGAAAATTTTCACAAAAAATACCTGATTGCATTGTTTTCATTCCGCGAGAGTGGTAAGTTGGTTCTTTGTCCAGTTGGGAAGTTTGAATTTTTTTCCGAAAACCTTACAACTAACCGTTTATTACTCAAATTCGACAGATTTTCAAAA